GGCGGTTCAGGCAGCGAGGGTCCAAAGAAAGAGGCCAAAGTCCCTCGAGGGTGCTCGATTTCCCACTCGACATCAGCGCTCCTGCAAGCGCACCTGCCTGTGTGCTTCTCTCAAGCCGTGGGGACCTCGTTCAGCGCAGCTCGTTGCAGGGACAAAGTGAAACAGGCAGACAGACGCTTGCAAGAAATCACGGGCTGAGGCAAGTGGGTTCACTTTCTGGGTGTGCAAACCTGGACCTCGGCATACGCAGCTTCCGCAGGGGAGGTGATAGTGGAGATGTCTTCTGGAAAGTGCTTGGGGTGCTGTGAGATGGTACCGAAAAGGCTGGTGGTGTTACTCTGAGCAGTGAGGACATTCCTCAGGAACTGACTGCTGCCTGTGTCGCCCTGATTCTGTTTCTAGGATCCTCATTTAAACCAGAATGCCTGGAATAACCTTGAGAAGTACAGCAGAAGTTTGGCAAGGAACAACAAGAACGTCTATGTCTGCACAGGACCCCTTTACCTGCCCAGGTAAACACAAGGGCCAAGCTGAAGCCGCACTCGAAAGATGCGTTGTGCTGGGAAAGGAAAGCAGGCTGAGGGGCTGCAGCCTCCCAGCTGCTCCCAAACAGGAGCGATCTGCTAAGGCCCAGCTCAGTAGGTGAGACCGGCTGTGCGCAGAGCTTCTATGGAGAGGTACTTTCTTAGGATTAGGCTTAGTTTGTGCCTTTCCCATTCAGTTGATGATTTTGTGAGTTTCTTGAGCTACAACATAACCAAGTTGCTTTTGTTTGCAGTCTTTAACAATCTAGTAGTAGTAGATTACTGGATTATTAGATTAGCAGATTAGACTGCAGACCCCTTCCCTGCAGAGTAAAGCTGCTTCTATTTAATAGACTATTCCTCCACTTAAGAGCATGACTTTATTTGTAAAGATCTTTATGTAGCGCTAAAGAGCAGCTGTCTCACGTTGAGATCTCTTCAGCAGCAGGAAATAGCCTGGAAAGGCTGTTAAAGAGAGATAGCAGGGAAAGGTTTTGGGGGGAGCAGGCCCAATATGCAGCTCGGCCTCACCGTGTCACGTAGGCTCCATTTCAGCAGTTTTTACACCCCTACTGCAGAAGTAGGGCTTCTCCCTGCCGCGCTGTGGGGTGGGGGCTCACTTAGGGGTGGTGGTGGAGGGCTGAGGGGGTGGATGTGGCACCAGACTAGGAGGTAACATGGGACGTTGCTGTTGGTACAGGATGGAGGCCGATGGGAAGATGTATGTCAAGTACCAGGTGATTGGGAAGAACAATGTGGCCGTCCCCACCCATTTCTTCAAGGTGCTCATCTTGGAAAAAGAGAGTGGGGAGATCGAGTTGCGCTCATACGTGATGCCCAACAGCCCTGTGGATGAGAAAATCCCCTTGGAACGGTTCCTGGTTCCCATCGAGAGCATTGAGCGAGCCTCGGGGCTCCTCTTTGTCCCAAACATCTTGAAGAGAACAAGTACCTTGAAAGCCATCACAGCTGGAAACAAACGTTGAACTCCGAGTAAACAAATCCAGGTATCCCCTGGGAAGGGACTGACAGCAGTCACCTGCAGAATAATAGTTCCTTGTGCAATTTTAAATGTGGGAAATAAGAATCAAACCAATGCTTCTCTTTCCCCTTCCCTTGTTTCATGTAGCAGTGAAACACACACAGCATGTCTCCAGGACAGGTCCTGCAGAAGGCTCCTGGGCACTTGACATTGTAGCAGGTCTCCAGAATTTGCCCCTGCTCTGGTACTCCTGTAATTGCTCCCTTTATGTTGTGTGTGACTCACTAAGACACAAAGGGAAGTTACTTAATTTCTGCTATTGAGCAGGGAAGAACTGGAGCAAGATGGGTGCCAGGGGAGGAGAGGTTCCTGCCTTTCTGTGGCCAAAGGTTTGTATGATTGTTTTCTTTCAGAAGATGGTTTTAGCAGTAAAGCTTTGAACACCCACAGTATTGGTTGTTTCTTATCTGCTCTTACCAAAGCTCTGAACATCTCCGCAGGAGAGGGGAAGACAGCCAACTTTTCTAGCTGCTTTCCTGTTTGAGCTCATTGTGTGCAGAGCTTAAGGCGTCATAGATGGAGCCAAGCTCTAACGAGCTATGCTGATGTGCTTCAGTGCTGAGGGCCAACTGAAGCTCCAGCCTTTCCTGCTGTTGGAAAGGATGAAGACTTGGAGTTCAAGGGCAAGGCTGGGGGAAGTCAGGCTGAGACAGGAACAGCTTCTTGGCATAAGGATTGACTTCCTTTAAGTCTGAAAGCCACATGGCTCCAGAGGCACTGAGCATGCAGGAGCTCTGGAGATTGAGTGCCCATCCTCTACACCAAGACGCTCACACATGGACTTAAAGGCACCTGAGGTTCCATACTGCTTTATTCCCCACCCCAGATGCCCAAATTGCTGAGACCCAGTCTGCTGCCAGGCTTGTCCCAGCTGCCGAGAGGCAGGGGCCCACCACTGGGGCGGAGGCTGCCGAGGGGCAGGGACCAGCCATTGGGCTGGACCACGCGGGCAGGAGGACACAGACTTGCTGCTCCCAACAGTAGCCAGACACTCGGTCGAGCAGCACTGCCAGCTTTAGTCATGCTGTGTCTTGGCCCCACCAGGCTCTTGGAGTGATTTGCCCAGCACCCCACTTTTGAACAGCTGCTTCCGTAAGGTAGTCCTCAGCTGATGGCAAGGTCAGTGGTTTTCGTTCCCTCTGCTGTCGCTGGGCGTCTTCACAGCCTCATTGATGTGGGGTCTCAGTGCAGACAATGAGATCAGCAGCGCTTCCTGGAACAGACCCAGGTGGCAGTCAGAACTGTTGCTCTCTGAGGAGTACCAGGCAAGCCCACTGCTCTTCGCTGAGGCATCACCGTGGGGAACAACATGTGGGCCGTATGTGTCACTGCCAGAGGCAGAAATGCAGCGCTGCTCCGTGCACGAAGGCATCAGGCCCTACCGCATCATTAACCACCTCTGTCCTCTTAACCTACCTCTGTCCGTATGGTTCTGCTGCCTTGGCTGGGACAAGTGTTCAGGTAGAAGTCGAACAAGACGCTTGGGTCGGTGACCTCCAGGTTTGGGTCCACGTCAACCCCAGCTTCCAAGCCCTCCAGACCTCCAAACACGATAAGGGCATGCCTAGGGGAGAGTGCAGGGACAGGGTGAGAGGGGAGACTGGCTCTTACCACTCTACCAAGGCAGATGCTACAAGCTTTACATAGGAGAACTGCTCATGTGCCTTGAACCTCTAACTTAATAGGATTAAGAATTGGCTTCACATAAACAGTTCTCTTAACTTGATCTTCAAGAAGCAGACTAATTTCTTTTGTTCAGGTATGTGTCAGATGGATAGTGCCACGGACGCAGGGAGCTGTGTCCCTTCCTGACAACGGCCAGTGCAGCTGCCCCCCCTAACAAAGCTCCATAGCACTTAGCCACTGTGACAGTCCCTGCTACCAACTCCAGAGAAACAGGAAAGGAATTGGCCTCGTCCTGGGGTACTGCCCGCAGCTTCTGCAATGCAGAGAAATGGGCCTTGGGGTAAAAGGAAGCAGCAGAACACAGGAGGGAGCCTGCAGGCAAGTCTTACACTTGTATCTAGGAACGTTCCTGCCTGGGAGAACATCAAGGCCACAGTGCAGCTCTGCTGCCTGCACCAGGCCTCGCTGGGGGCACTGAGTGTGGCCAAACAGCCAGGACACAAACCTGAAGGAGGGGAGAGTGGCCTGGTCCACGGAGCTGCCCCGCTCTGAGGTCCCAATAGAGAGATCGTAGCCTTCCTTGAATGGGCACTCTGAAAAGACAGCGCCTGGGAAACAAACACAATATGAGACTATCCACATGGTGCCCTTGCCCACGCTGTGTGCCTTCTGGACAGGTTCAAACACTCCACAGGTGAGTGGTAACAGCACAAGGAATTGCTTTTCAGTGCCACTAGTGCATCAGGAGACAGAAGAATGATTCTCTTTCCTACGTAATTCCCTTGCTGCAGGGGTCTCTGGCACCCTTCTCAACTGCAGCACCTTTTCCTCAAAGCTCAGAGGTGCCAGGAGCTATTCCTTGACTAATGGCTTATGATTTTCCTGGGAGGTCCAATCAATCAGAAACAGGCAAAGGATTTTGCAGGGCTTTTGAGCTCAAATATCACTGCTGGCTTTGATGTAAAAGAGCAGGAGGTAGTTATCATGGAAATGGAGATGCACTGGCTGGAGATGGAGAGCACCAACTCTTGTCTCCTGCTACAACGTGGACATTTGGAGCAACGGTGAGTGGAGGTACGGGGCAGAGTACTGGTGTGTGACTGGGGTGATTCACGCCCCTAGCTTTAGCCCTTAAATTTGATTGCCACATGGCTGCTAGCTGCACGTGTAAGCTGCCTTTGAGACAAAAGAGATTTCTAAGAAAGAAACGTTAATGTGTGCTGCAGATGTGCAGCCAGTAGACCTGAAATTGGTGAGGAAGTCTAGGTAGAGACAAGGCAGAGAGCAGAGAATCCCTGCAAATACTTACTCAAGCAGGAGGCGAGGCGGACGCTGTAACCCCAGTACAAGCCTGAGACTGTCCGAGGGTGGTGTGAGGACACCACGGTGCCTTTCCGCACTTTAGCTTCTGAAAGGGAAGCAAAGACATTAACAATCCCTGTGATCTAGTGAGAGCTGGATTTGACCAGCCACCTATGGCAGTTTCTCCTGGGGCGGGGCACTGACTTCGTGTACAACCAAGAACTGCCCTTTTGAGCATGTTCTGGAAAGCATGCAAGTATGTTTGGGCTGTTTGTTATTGGTCAAAGTGCTGACAGTTCTTTCCAGTTAACTAGGGAGGTATGGTAAGGGTGTTACTAAAATTGCGCGTGGAGTGAAGGGAACGTGCAGAGCTGTTGGGTACCTTCAAACATTACTAATGTGAAGGCTGTCATATGGAAGGACCAACTCCTGCAGGACTGAAGTTTACAGATGCTAATCGAGCAGTGGATTACCTGTCTTCTGGGGTTCCTCCAGGCGCACAGTGACTCGCAGACCGGGGTTCAGCTGTCTGTCAATCTGCACCTCCTGCAGTGACAGTTGCATCAGCATCAGACATTCTGGAAGTACTGGGGAAGGTGGGGAAGGAAGGGAACCCTCTGAGGAAGTGGGGGTCTGTTCTGGCCTGGAGCTGGAATGAGGAGCTCCGCAGTCAGGGCCTGCATGGTGCACACAGTGCAGACCAGGCTCAGGGTGGTTGGGTCAGCAGTCTTCAGACTTATTTTGCTGCTCAAACATTTAACTGCAGCAGTGAAGCAATGACGTGCTGGAATAGGCACGCCCGCCAGGACTCGGGAAGCTATAAATGTTGACAAGCCAGAAGGGACAAGATAGCAACAGCATTAAACACCATGCCAGCCTGCTATGGCCTTCAGAAACCCAGCAGTACCCACCCTGCCTGCTTCAAATCTGCCAGAGAGACGGGAGATTGTTTTGGGATCTGTGGGTAACAGACATACCTTCCTCATCCCACAGTTAACAAAAGAGCCTCTGCCTGGCTTAGTTGGCCGGTCCAACACTACACCTTCTCTGTATTCTGAATCCTCGTCCACCCGCATGTGGTGGGGGCTGTCCAGGGGGTTGAGCAGCCCTAGAACAGCAGAGGAAAGCAACTGCTAAGGAGAGGTGGGAATGCAGGTGTAAGCACAACTGCCCTGCTGCACCCTCCCTCTATGATCCAGCCTACCACAGCACCTCGCCTGCACTCTAAAGTGGGGAAAAGTTACTGAATTCTGTGTATCCCAAGCAAAATGAGCCAGAGTTCAGGAAGGGGGAACCAACAGCTTGGGACAGAGACAACTGAATCATTACCTGCAAACTGCAGATCCTCATGTTTTGGAAAAAAGGATTTCCTCAAGTACCTGTTATCAGAGAAGGCTGAAATGTGAAAACAGTTGTTTCTATGGAATCCAAGCCTCAATTCTAGCCTTGTTCTGACTCAAAGGAGCCGAGTACAGAGAAAAGCATGCTTACCTCTCTCAAGTCCCTGACCTACCTCTAATGTATCATGCAGGTTGTATCCTGCATTCACTGCTCTTAGTTAAACTCCTGAACCAGGCATGTGGAACAATTAGATCCTGTGTTCCTGCACAATTATGCAATATAAACAGAATTTGCCTCCTGCTCCCATAGCCTCTAGTGTGAGATACACATGGCCGTCACTTCTGATGTAAATGTGATGCACGGTCTGACCATAGTGGGCTTACTGAGGGCACTCCAGGTACTGCAGGATCCGAGCCAGCTGCACACAAGCCTTGCCTTTCCTCCCAATTCCTTCAAAGTCCCCCTCCACGCTCCTGAAAGAGAAAGCAAACAGCTTGTGAACTCAGCGTGAGACTGGTCAGGTCTCCAGAAGACCAAGCCTTGCTCCTTAATCTGAAAATAGCAGTGCACCCCTCCACCCCTTGTAAAAGGGCTGCTCCAGAGGTAGAGACTGTTAGCAAATCACGTTTGGAACTCTCTCTATAAGCCAAGTATCTTTTTCAGTTTTGTTTTTGATCTTTGTGTATTGACACAACCTGGCAGTTGGATGCTACTGAGCTGGATGCTACAGGATTGCATGGCTTGGCCAGTTAACACAGATGCAGGTCCAAATGAGAAGCTGAAGAACAGGAGTTCACCTTCTATAAGGATATAGGCATGTCCTGTCCCTCCACAGCAAGATTTAAGAGTACAGGAGAACTTAACCTCCCGCTGCTTTTTCATCCCCATGCTAGGATAAATGATCCTAGCTGCCAGGGCAGTTAAGTCAACATCTTTGCCCAGTGGTAAAGGGGTCCCTGTAATCCTGGCATTTGAGAGAGGTTCAAACATTTGCTTGAGGTACACACAGTTCCTTCCTGGTCTTAGCTTAATAAAAGACTGAAGAAACAGAAAGAGAGGAAATGCTTTCTGCAGAAGAACATGGCTCCTCCTTACTTTACATCTTCTCCGTGCTCATCAAACACTATGATCTCATCCACACAGAAGATGGCACAAGCCCGAGCAATCTGTCCAGCAAGGTAGGTCCGCAGCTCCAGCGACTGGGCATTGTTCAAGATAGAGCCTGGCAGGGCTACGCTCAGAAGCCCTGGGGAACAGAGCGCGATCAGCAGAGGGCCACAAGCGTGGCAGCTGCACATACAGCGTTTTATTTACTACTTCAACTGCAGTTGGGGGAGAAAAAAGCAACCTCTGTTTCTTAGATTTTAATCACAGGTTTTTCTCTTAAGAAAGGTCCCTCATGCAGCGCTTACTGCATCATGTTTATGCACGCGGACTGATCTATATCAGACCTAGGATGCTGACCATCACCTTTCCTATCGATAGGTAAAACTGACCGACTTTTACGACCAACCAGCTCCTTCACCCAGGCCTCCCCACCGGTCACAGCGGCATCACCTTTGTCTTCCTTCTGCTCCTCCTGCTTCTCAGCTTGTTTTTCTGCCAACTCCCGCATCCGCTGTTTCTCCAGTTTCTTCAGCAGCTTCATCTCCTTCCATTTCTTCTTCTCTGCTTTCCCTGGAACGGAGAGCGGCACCTCGCTTTAAACAACGAGCCCTGGCTGCTCAGAGGAGGGCGGCCGGGAGGGAGAGGGGACGGGGGCCGCGGGGCCCGGACGCCGCGGTGA